GGCAGATGCCTCGCTGTGAAGGTGGTTTTTGGTCAACCTGAGAGATGTAGCCAGCTATGTGAGAGAGAGGGACAATCAGGGAAATCCTGTCTAGTGTTTGAGAAACAGTCAGGAGGGCAGCAGACATGAGTGGACTGAATATGCGAGAGTAGCAGGAGGTAAGATTGGAAGGAGAAGTGGGATTGGACCATGCAGGGATATGTCAATTACACCCAGAAGCTTGGCTTTTGTCCTGGGTGAGAGGGAAGCCCCTGAAGAGTTTTGCATGTTAGGATACAACCTATGTTTTCAAGAGAGTCACTCCGGAGGCTGTGTTGAATATATACTGAAGAGGGAGAAGTACATGCTGAAGCAGAAAGACCAGAGAAAGCTACTGAAAGAATCCAGGTGAAAGATGATCGTGTTTTAGAGTAAAACAGTATTGTTAGGATTGGTGAGAAGTCATCTAATTCAGGTTATGTTTCGAAGCTGCAGATGATAGTATTTGCCAGATCAGAGATGGATTGGAAAAGTGAAGGACTAGGTTTTCAGTCTAAACAACTGGATGGCTTGACTTCCATGCTTGTTATTTCATAACTAATTCTAGCTGTTAGTAGATATCCAGATATCAACCACTATATAAAAATACAAGTCAAAACCTTCCACTTACCAGGTGCTAGCATTTTCACCCTTCCACATGCTGTAAGAGTGGTCAGCATTTCTGTAGGACGTGATGCTCACGATCCCTAAGAGGCACCAGAAAAAACACACTGAGCTTCACTGGTCTCTGCTTCTCCTCAAAGAGCTCTTCCTCTGCCCCTGGGAATGGTCAGCTTCCTTGGGCGTTGGGCAGTAAGTGTATGCTCCGTGGCCCACGTGGAACCTCTCATTAAGAATCATGTGAGTTGTTTCCATTGGGATTTGTCAAGTAGAACATTCTGACCTCATTCAACAAGGAAAGATGTGCTCAGTCAAGTTTGGAATGCTGGTGTCTTGCCTCTCAGCCAGGCATTTTGGTAAGTTAAACCAAACTACTACAGAAATAATACTTTTATAGTAAAGGCCACCTTCCTTGTGATTACGTAGGTGTGTGTATGTGTGTATGTATGTATGTTAAAATGCTTTTTCAATTAAGCCTTAATGTAATCCATAACAGCTTCAATATTAATTTTGTTGAAACATCAATTTCAAAATCCCTATATTTTTATGTAAACTAAATGGCTTACCTTCTTTTAATTTCTTCTTCAGGTTTTGTTTCTGCATTGGATGAAAAGTGCCCCAATTGTTTCCTGCTTCCAGGTAGTGATAGACATAGAAGATCGGCACAATGCTCATCAACTCTGCCTCTGCACTCCCCTTGGGGAGGTGGGAGAGGATGTCGATGCTGCCCTGACTCAGAACTGCAGACATGACTTCACCGATAAGCTGTCCTGTAACAAAAATGGGAGACAGAACCACTCTTCATCAGCTTTTAACTGAGTCACATCCTGTTCTCAAGGGGGAAGCATGTCAGCACTACATTTAAACCAATGGAAGGACATTTTCCCCATTCTCGGTTATGCTGCAGTGCTAAAGAATTTCCCTGGCTCTTCTTCCCCACGCACAGCCGACTGCCATTCGACTGTTGCTTTGTGGAGTTAAGGAACACAGTTAAAAAAAAAAAGAGGGAAACATGACTTTCCTTCTTCTATTCTTATTTTAGGGTTGAATTATTCTCAGAACAGAGACAAGAAAAAAAAAACTGGTTAGGAAGATCAGTACAGAAGAAACCCCTTCAGAAGACTTTCAAATATCTATGCAACATGGTGAGACAATGGAGCAGTGTAACAGACAGCTGCATAGAGGATATGGTGCACCGATGACCATTCAGCTTGGTAGCTG